ACCTTTAGCTTTTAGCTTATGTTTTGCGCAACAGGCATTCACCCTTGCATTTTCCTAGGAAATGCAAATTCTCTAGTTACAAATAACTTCATTTCTGGACATTTATGGTTTGATTTCTTTGTATGTATGGATCACTTGGGTTGTTACCGACATCTGGCGAAAATTTCATGTCATTAGCCCCTCTAGTAATATATTTACCGAGAAAAATGGTGACGTGTTCAATACTTATTTTACCTGCTGTAAATCTAGCCATGATAAATTGTTTACTTTAAAAGCCTGCCCCTTCCAATATGGCGTCACGCTCGCACCGCCGTGGTCAATCTTCTGAAGCATGCAAGACGCCTCGATTCTACACATCTCACTGGCTGTGTCCCCTGAAGAGGGAACAGTTCATTAGCTGAGTCAGCATTCACACTGTTGTTTCACTGTTTCTTCTGTACATTTTTATAATCAAACTATTTCTGCATACTCTGCATACCATTTTAACCAGAGGTGGAAAGAGTACTAAAATGTACTCAAATAAAAGTGCAGTTACTTTGTTGAAGTTTTACTCAAGTATAAGTAAAGATTCTTGGATAAAAATAAATCATTAAAAGGTAAAATTTGTGCTAATATTTGCAAAACTGTAGCAGGATATAAAACAAGCAAACTAAAGCTAAAAGTAGCAGAACAACAGCTAAAATAAGTAAAACTGTTGCTAAGTATAGCAAATTGGTAGCTAAAACATATACTCAGCTATTTTACCTACTAATGTGCTTCTTTTAGCCTTTAGCTACAGATCTGCTGCTTTTTAGCCTTTTGCTACTTAGCTTCTTGCTTTTAGTTTGTGTTTTGGCTGTTTCAGCCTATGTTCTGCTCAACTTTGCCTTTCTTTTACTCATTTTAGTTTCAGCTTGTTTTAACTTTAACAACTTGCTACTTTTAGCAGTCATTCAGCGCTCGGGGTCACACTGTGTTTTAACAGAAAATGTTTYTCTTGTCTCCACCTTGTAATCATCTGAAACAAGGTTTTAAAGGACAGTGCGTGAAAAATTCCCTCCCACCAATATAAAGATAAATGTTTACAATTGTTGCTTTTGTATTTTTAGTAAAGTTATGGCCACTTCATTAGTTTAAATGCTCAACTAAATATTGAAACAATGGGCCTCATACAAGAACCGTTCGTACGCACAGATTTGTTCTTAAGTTGTGCGTACGAGTGATTTAGGAGAATTTGTGGCATTCACCA